TGAAAATAAGCTTTACAACCCCTCAGGGTAATAACACTCCCACCAAGAAAATCAGAAAAGGATTGTGTGGCAGGTGAAAAGGTGTTACCAGAGTAAAGATTATAAACCTCCCACCTCACACCTAGCTAATGACACAACTTTGTGTTTGAATATACTGTGCATTGACAATGGACACTGAAACTCACATACTTCCAATATAATATAATTTCTCTCCCAGTCAATTACACAATCTGTAGTAAGTGTATAGTTGTGTAACTTCTTGACTACAGAGCATAGGGAGTTATCTGTGTGGAAGTGGCCCCCTGATGATGATTGTTGATCTGATGTCTGGAGAAGGAATAACTTAAAAGTAACAGAAGAAGTTTAAAAAGCAAATATCCATAGAAAACATAAGCAAGAAGGTCCTTGCAGTTCCTCAGGTACAGCTTCCTCTCCAGCAAGGAGAACAGTGAGCAATACAGTAGTGATATTAGCAAATCCTAACTGAAATCTCTTGAGGTTAGCAGTGAGAGGCAGAAGTGACTTAGATTTCACACTGTAGACATACAGCTCTGAGGCCTTAGGTATAAAGGATCGCTTATGCAACGATCTCATACTTGTACAGAAAAGGAGGAATTCAAGACAAAAGATATTTCTCTGAGTACTGCTTAAGAACAATTAGTATTTGTAGAGGTTCTCTACAGTACAGCAAACCTTCACTTTTTTAGTTCAAGCCCACCTTAATGTCAAGGCCTATGGTAGTGAGCTCTATAGGGGCACAGCTTGGGGCTCCCCAGGGCGCAGAGTCTAAGCCCCAGCCTGCTTGTTCACCAGGGCCCCTGATGGTGGGGATGGAGTTGAAGCAGGCTGGGACCAGGTCGCGGCCCCCAGGCACACCCAGCTGAGGTGGAGGAGACCGCTAGTGGGAGCAGGGTACAATGGGAGAAGACACGGGGAATCCAATGGGCAAGCCGAGGTCAGGACAGGAGGAAAACAAGCAAGGTCAGGAACGAAGCCGGGGTTGGTACACAGATAGATAACACAGGATACACAGCGGAAACACAAGGGAGCTCCAACAACACGAAGTTGCTCAGGCAAAGTGGGACAGACTGAGCATGTCTTAAATAGACAAGCCAGCTAGGAGGAAGGCTAGGAGGCTGCAAATAGTTAGATCTTGTCGCTCCCACAGTGGCGAGGCCCAAGCCAGTGCTTCACAGAAAGGAGGGAAATCATATACGCCACCTTGGAACAGTCAGAAAAAAAATGGTGGGCTGCTAGCTCGAAGTGAATTGAGCACTGATTGATGAAGCTCCGACAAGCTTTAGGATCACCAGAGAAGTGAGGCGGTGGAGGCAGCTGGAGTCTCAAAGGACAGTGTTCCACTGGGGGAGCGGAAGGTGGAGCAGCGAGAAACAGAGCAGGGGCCAAAAAACAGAGGGTGAGGAAGTGGACATAACCTGCAGCTGATCCAACCGGGAGGAGAGTTCCTGCAGACAGTGCATGATTTGTTCTTGTAAGGCCTGCTGGACCTCGACTCTCTGTTCCAGGACAGGCTGCGGTGTCTCCAAAAAGCTCATGGCCTGAGCAAACTGTCAACGCCTATGGTAGTGAGCTCTATAGGTCTACAGCTTGGGGTTCCCCAGGGCGCGGAGTCTAAACCCCAGCCTGCTTGTTCACCAGTGCCCCTGATTGTGGGGATGGACTTGCAGCAGGCTGGGACCAGGTCACGGCCCCCAGGTACACCCAGCTGAGGTGGAGGAGACCGCTAGCGGGGAGCAGGGTACAACGGGAGAAGACACGGGGAATCCAATGGGCAAGCCGAGGTCAGGAACGAAGCCGGGTTTGGTACACAGATAGATAACACAGGCTTCACAGCGGAACCACAAGGGCACTCCAACAACACAAAGTTGCTCAGGCAAAGTGGGACAGAATGAGCATGTCTTAAATAGACAAGCCAGCTAGGAGGCAGGCCAGGAAGTGATAGAAGGGAAGGACATAAAACCCAAAGGATAGCAGACGACGCCCACAGGTGAGTGTTGTCTTATGAGCACAGACAAACACACATGTGAAGGAATCAAGAGCAGCAAGGAGGTAAGAATAAACACACAAGAGGTTGCAGGCTAACTTGTGACACTTAATAGGCATATGGACTGTTATATCATTGGAACCTTAGAATTTAGAGGGCAGCCTTGTGTCATCATACAGATTAAGGAGATATTGTCTGATTATCTGGTTAATCTCCAATCAGATTTACCAATCAGATTGTATTTTACTGTAGTTAGTGAATGGAGTAAAAAAAATCTCTAATTCTTAAAGGTCTAGAAAGACATTACAATCTTCTAGTAAAATCTAAGATATTTTTTTTTATTTGTACTCTATCAGGTTGTGACCTACTGTACTTTGTGACTTAACCATGTACAATGAATGGTATAGAAAAGAAACCACTCTCTAAAAAAATGTAAAAACAACTAAAGCCCAGCTCTGGGATGGACCATGGGCAGGAGCATCTTAGATCTCATGTACACTGCAGCTAAAAAGAGCCCCTTTTACATGCGTTTGACTTTTTTTTCTGCCTTTAAATGCCCCTCTAGGTTATCCTAAGTGTCCATGCATAGACGCTTACAGGCATTTAGAGGCAGGAGCATTTATTGGCAGAAATCTGACCACAGAAAATCGTGTTTAGGAGAAGAACATTTGAGCAGAAAAGCCACCAGATGCAAATAAATGAATGTCTATATGCTAGATGCATTTAGCACTTGGTCGTTCATTCATTTCAATGACCAAAATAAATTCATATTCTGGCCAATGAAGTGAATGAATGCCCAAAAACTTGATGCACCCTGAATAAAACTAAATGCACTGAAACACGTTTGAATAATGCAAATTTAGGTGCGTTTTTAAAGTGGTTGTAAAGGCTCAATGTTTTTACATTCATGGATTCTATGCATGAAGGTAAAAAACGTTCTGTGTGCAGCAGTGCCCCCAGCCCTCTCAGTACTTACCTGAGCCTCATCGTGATCCAGCGTTGTGCATGACAGCTTTGGCTGTGCCGCGTCTCTGCCTCCTCACTGGAAGAGACAGCAAGCGGGAACAATTGGCTCCTGATGCTGTCAATCACAGCCAGTCAACCAATGAGGAGGGGGGGAGGCAAGCCGCGGCTCGGTGTGTGAGTGGACACATGGAGCAACGGGTGCCCCCATAGCAAGCTGCTTGCTGTGGGGGAACCTGACAGGAGGGAGGGGCCAGGAGAGCCTACAGGGGACCAGGGTAGAGGACAATCCAGGCTGCTCTGTGCAACAGGTAAGCATAGACATGTTTGCTAATAAAAAAAAAAAATTAACCTTTAGAATCGCTTTAAGATTGCATTTCTCCTGCAAGGAGAAAGACATTCAGAAGAGCTGAGCAAACAGGTGCCCCCATAGCAAGCTGCTTGCTGTGGGGGAACCTGACAGGAGGGAGGGGCCAGGAGAGCCTACAGGGGACCAGGGTAGAGGACAATCCAGGCTGCTCTGTGCAACAGGTAAGCATAGACATGTTTGCTATTTAAAAAAAAAAAAAATTAACCTTTAGAATCGCTTTAAGATTGCATTTCTCCTGCAAGGAGAAAGACATTCAGAAGAGCTGAGCAAACATTTAATGTACGAGGCCTTACATAGAAGGCTTCACAGGGCTAGTTGCACCGCTAGAGGGACCATGCTGGAACAAGAAATAAGGTAAGTATCATACCTAATTCCTCCATCTCTAGGCAAAAAGGAGCATTCACTCCTTGCAGTGGGGCCTCCTAATGCTGCAAAGTGTAAATGCTCATTTTCCCCCTAGTTTTCTTTCTTCTGCCCAGCTTTTTTCAAGAACTGTAAGTAAAAATTGTATTATGTGTACCTATTTTTTTATTTGTGACTAATCATCTTAGTTGTGCAACTTTCTTATTGGACAGACAATGTACCATTTTTTTTCTTTGCTGGCTAGCTGGCAAGTATGCCGGGAAATACATTTTGTTTTCTCTGTGCAAAGCCCTTCCATGTGCATCTTACTATAAAAGCTAGTTATAAATTGGGGCAGTTTCCATTTTTGTTTAGCTCCCCCTAGATTTCCCCTGGGATTTGGTACCATCCTGTGACTGTCCCTTTGCTGGAGTAAAATTGCTATAGCAACCAACAGAGCAGTCAGCAAATATTCCTGTATCTCCTCTATATAAAACTTTGCTAGAAAAAACTTTCAGTCTTACTCTAAAACAGCACAAGTGGCAACAGCAATATTAATGCATGGTACTTTATTACCACAAGTTTTGGCAGGAAATTAAGAATACAATTAGGAATAAAGTAAGTACTCTAATTCTGTAGTTAAAGAAGATAGCTGGAAAGGCTGATAACATTGTTTGAGATTGCAGTTTGGTGCACAGGAAGTTACAAGGACACCAGATTTCCAGCAGGATCAACATGTATTTTCCTGTTCTTCCAGAAAATGTACTTAGCCTGAAAAAAAAAAATGCAACCACCACATCTAAGGACTGGTTGTAAAATATCAACCACTTGCCCTCCAGAGGATTTACCCCCCTTCCTAACCAGGCCATTTTTCACAATACGGCGCTGCGTTACTTTAACTGACAATTGCGTGGTCATGTAACATTGCACCCAAATTAAACTTATGTCCTTTTTTCCCACAAATAGAGCTTTTTTTCAGCGGTATTTGATCTGTGGATTTCATTTTTTGTGCTATAAACAAAAAAAAAAGACCGACAATTTTGAGAAAAAAAACAATATTTTGGACTTTTTGCTATTAAACACGTCCAGTAAAATATTTTAAAGCAAATTTCATCATAAATTTAGGCCAAAATGTATTCTGCTACATGTCTTTGTTAAAAAAAAAATCCAAATACGTGTATTAATTGAATTAATACATGAATTAATTTTACATGGAAGTTATAGCATCTACAAATGGCAGTATATATAGTGGAATTTTTTTTTGTTGTTATATACCAGTAATGGCGGCGATCAGCTACTTATAGAGGGACTGCGGGGCTTCGGGACTGCGGTGGACATTCTGACACTGGGGGGAACTGACTAACTGTCACTGACATCCCCAGTGACACTAATACAGTGATCAGTGCTAATAAAAAGCACTGACACTGTACTAATGACAGTGGGCAGGAAGGAGTTAACATCTTGGGCGATCAAGGGTTAACTGTGTGCTGTGTGCGTGTTTCACTATGTAAGCACATTGCTTTGTATTGCTGTGCTATGCAGAGCAATACAAAGCAGTGTGCAGGAGCTGACAGGGGAGAGATCTGTAATGCTCGGCGATCACTGGGTGCTGGCGGGGAATCACCAGCTGGGACCCAGTGATTGACATCTGCGGCTGCTAATGGCGGAGTGGTAGGGAGCACGCGTGCCCCCTACCTGGATATGCAAAATTATGTATATATACGTAATTTTGGGCAGTCCTGATGCCTTGTAGCAGTATTTCTGCTATAGGGTGGCGAGAAAGCGGTTAATGCTAAACTCCAGGCAGAAATGAAGACACAATTTCAGCTCCGTAAATAAATATTAATCTTTTATCAATGCATATTTTTTAAATACAAGCAGTGTAATTAGCTGCATTTGACCTGGTATTGACCTCTTGCATCTCTGTACAGCAGGACTGGAGTGTGAGAAGGAGAAGCAGTGTAAGAAGCCAATTGGTTCATGTGCTGACAAGAAGGATGCTCATAGGAATAAAAAGTAGAGTGACAGAAAGATGAAATCATCACTGTGCTGCTTCTTCTTTCACTGTCCAGAGAAGGATGCTGGGTTGACGGATGCTGGTTATCAGATGGAAGACAGCAACAAAGAAAGTACTGCAGGGGAAGTCTCTGAATTGAAAGTGAATATTTCTCTTTTCATGGGCTAATAAATTTTATCTTGCTTTTGGCTGGACTTATGCTTTAAATGTTTGTATTTGGGTTTAGAAATATTTTAAAAGTGACAGAGACTGCAAAAATGAAACCATAGTTTTAGAAGAGTAGGGCAAGGCTTAAAGCGGTTCTTCAGGCACTTGTGTAAAAATAGTCAGCAGCTGCAAAAACAGTTTCAGGATCCAGTGCTGTCCCCACACAGGTTGGTTTCTTCACCAGTCTATGGTCCCCGGCGCAGCATATTATCTATGGGTAGCTGCTTGTGACTGCTTGTGGCTTCACAGCTGGCTGCCCACTGCATATGTACGAGCCGAGCTGCACTTTGTGAATGGTCCTGCAGTTTTCTGGGACCTGTGACATGTCCCAGAAGGATGTAGGCAGGGAGAGAGGGAACCTAGGCGATAGTGGGAGCAGGTACCTGTCAAAACAGGTACCTGCTCCCCCAGCAAAATTTGTGCCAATGTGCCAAATATGTCAGATGAGGGGAGTACAAGGAAGAGCGGAACTTCCCCTTTTCGGCAGAGTTCTGCTTTAAGTTCTGGAGAGTTTTTTATTGCTGTCTGTGTCTTGAAGAATTTCCCTCATTTGCTGTTGTCACTTAGGGGTCTTGGTGAAATATCCTTGAGTGCTTTTAGCATTTGAATAAAATTTTAACCTTTCCCCATTGTCACAAAAAAACTAGTATAAAAAAAAATAGTGGTTACAAAATAGATTTAACAGATTTTAAATTCTTCTTAGATCATGAGAAGTTCAGCGAGAGCCTTTGTCTTATACGCCTACTCTCCTGTCCAAAATGTTTGAAGGTATGAACATGAAACGAAGTGGGGTTGGGGACCAAAATAAATTGGCTAGATGGAATTTGCTTTGCCAGAGACAAGCTTGATTCATCTCTATACTATTTCTTATACAGCAGCAGAACATGCAGATCCATACACTTGTTTTATGATTAAATTGCAGAATCACCTTTAGATGCATGTCACAAATCACAAAATTTTAATTTTCCCAACCACTAAAATACTGGGAAACAGCAGGCAGACCAGGAAATTCAGTTTGCCACTTAGGTAAAAAAAAATAAATCCATCTTTTCAAGAAGTGTTAAAGTGTGCATAAGATTTATCCACTTCCATTCCGAAAACTTTCACCCCCTTCCAGTCCATGCCAGTTTTCAGCTTTCAGCACTATCACACTTTGAGTGACAATTACTCAGTCATGCAACACTGTATCCATATGAAATTTGTATCCCTTTTTTGAGACAGAGCTTTTTTTGGTGTTATTTGATCACTACTGTTTTTTTTGTTAATTGTCTGCTATATAAATGAAAAAATACCGAACATTTTGAAGAAAAAAAATGTTTTGCTTAGTTTTTGTTATAAAATAATCATAAATAAATACTTGTATTAGTAAATTAGTATATTAATAATAATGAACCCATAACCTTAACCCCAAAACCTATAAAAGTAATAAAATAATCATAACAATAATTTATTATTATTAATATTATTAATAATTTATTTCATTTTTTAAGGTTAGGGGTTAATTATTTTTTATTTATGATTTATTTATCATGATTTTTTATTTATATGTGTATTTATTTTACATGTATTTATTCGTATACTATTACTATTTTTTATTTAACTTTTTTAAATTTGAGCAGAAAATCGCACAAAATGTGCAAAAACGCATACAAGCGCCTCAGTTGAGCTTTTCTATTCTTTTCTATGGGAGTAAAAACGCACCAAAAATGTGCACATCTGCCCAAATTGAGCTTTAGGCATTCTGTTTCAGGCAACCTGGAGTGGACATGTGAACCATCTCCATAGAGTAATATTGATTTTTTTCCCCTGAGCGTTTTGGAGCTTCGAACTTTGCACTACAAAATGCTCAGGTGTGAATGCAGCCTAAGATACCTGTGTACACAGTACTGCATGGAAGGGAGGCAGGTCACAACTCAGGAAGCAGCTTTCTCCATGCACAGCTCTGCTGATTGCTGCTTGCTCCAGCTCTGCAGTTCAGTGTTTAAAGACAATAAGCTGTCAAAGCTGTACTAGAATATTAGAAAAAATAGCGTCTGCCTTCCTCTGCCTGGCCTCACATTTCAAGACTAGGCGCACTGCTCTGCTTGTCCTCCTCCCTGCTGACAGGAGCAGTGAGTGAGGCTGCTGTCACATCTCCTGTCAGCCTATAGTGGCAGAGCTTAATGCAAGATCATTATGGGGCCCCATGCACCTGGGGCCCCTCAGCAGTGCCCAGGGGTGCCCAGGTGTTAAGACTGTCCTAATTGCTTCACAGTGGCTGTAACAAAATTGATCAGTAAGGGCTTTTTTTAAAGCTTATTTATATGGAGTTAAACATATTTTTACTTTCAATAGAACTTGTGAGAACATGGACATTGGAGACTGCCTTTGCTGAGTTGCTTTTTAAAGGGTTAGACTACAAGACTGTCATTCCTACCCAAGTTTCATTAGTGAGTCAGTGACCTGGAATAGGTGTGCAGGACAGGAGGTCAGACAATAGATGCTTGTCTCTTGTCAGTGACCAACTATGTACTGAAGCCAGGACCACAATGACAGACCTACAGCTTGCTCCTTTATGAACCATGTCAGCACTGGCGGCGCCCTTAATCCTATCTTTGCAGATTCTCTTTTGGCCTGAATGTCAAAGCTAGAGTAGACATTACCCACAGGAACCAGATATTTTATGTTATTTAAAAGCTGAAACCTAATTATTTACTGCAAGAAACAGCTCCCTGATTGAGCTACTTTTTATTATACTTGCTTTAGAAACCTTATGACAGAGAATTGCCATTACACTCATCCAGCATTTACTTTTTTAATACATTTCTGCTATAGGAATGATAAAAAACTTAGAACTACATATCTCTCAGTGTTTTTGTGGACTATCCAAAGTATCATGCTTTGAAAAGCATTCAGTTTGCATTTGAGCTGCTTATGAATTCCTTCTGAGTGGCTTCTGACCTTCTTGCTAGCTGTGTTGAGGTTTGTGGGCTGTTTTTGCATTTCCATTGATTTGTAGAGAAAAAAAAATCATTTCTTTGGCAACCAAATGCCCGTATACACAGGCCCCAAGACAAATAAAATTAGAAACAATCTAGCAGAAGAACTGTCTAGCATGTAAGAATCTCACTATTATGTTTCCAGTATATATCCTGTATGACCTTAATACTTAAAGCTCATTGGGGTTGATTTACTAAAGCTGCATAGATACCGGTTAGCTTTTCTGTCAAAGCTTCATTGAACAAACTGACTGTCAGGGACCCTGTCGCCGTGCAGCCGTGCGACGGCGACCGGTCACTTCAGATCGCGGCGGTGCGAGTGCACACAGTAGAGTCCACGTCAAATAGTCCTAGGCGGGCTATTTAAACCTACAATACAGCCTACAATCAATGCCTTCTGGTCTACGACGTTCCTGAACATATTAGCTGATCCTGTTGCCTGTACTCTGATCTGACCTAAGAAAGAACTCCGCCTGCACCGACCTCGGCTATCCCTGACCATCCGCTTGCCTGCTCCCTTGTACTTGATCTGCCCGCTTAATACTGACCCGGCTTGTCTGACTCTGCTGCATCTACTTAACTGCACCTGTACCTGGCTTACATCCTGACGGCTGCCATACTTACCTGCCGCTGCACCCACGATCCTGCATCTGGCTTGCATCCTGACGTTTGCCATACTTACCTGCCGCTGCACCTACGGCCCTGCACCTGGCCTGCATCCTGGTCACTGCCATACCTGCCTACTACTGCATCCACGCTCCGGCGTCCAGTCCCAGTCTGCATCCTGATTGCCACCACACCTGCCTGCTGCTGCACCTATGTTCCTGCATCCGCACCTGGCCTGCATCCGGATCTCCTGGGTCTTCAGCTACCTGCCGCCAGCTCCAGATCCACCTGGCACTTGTGCCATTCCTGGCTCTGCACCCTCTGTTCCCTCTATCAGGGGCTCTGAGCGGGAGTCCTAAGAGGACGCTTTCTCTCCACGTCAGGCTCCCCAACCAGGTATGTGACACTGACGTTAGGAGCTGATGCACACCTGCACCAGATTTTGCACTTTCCAGTTTTAGTAAATCATCCCCATTATGTCCTTGAATATTTGCCCATTAGTCTGACTATCCAAACTAAGCAGAGGACAACATATAAATGTAGTGCAAAAACATAATTAAACTTGAAGGAGAAATCTAATGAAGTGTCTATATTGACAACCTGGACCTACTACTTTAAAAATGAGTTAAGGCCGAAATCTATTTTTTTTAAATAGAGAAAAAGGGCTGTGGTGACCCAATAACCCATCCTCTTGACTCT